GGTAGTGAGGTTGGCCCAGGATAGGACATTGTTTCGTTCTGCTGTGCATGGGGTCGCTATGAGTCGGTTCCGACTCAATGGCACCTGACAACAACAACAACGCTACCAGAGTTCCTTTGGAAACCCTGTAGGGCAGTTCAATTCTATCCTGTGGGCCCGCTTAGAGTCAGAAGTGTCTCCATGGCAACAGCCTGCGGCAGGGCAGGCGGTATTGCACGGCAGCTGCCTCCAGAACTAAATGGTTTAGATTCAGATCCCAGCTCTGTCATTTCCTAGCTGTGAGATCTTGGACAAGTTCTGTGTCTGTGCCTCCGTGTCTTTGTGGGTAACGCGGGATCGTTGTGCCTGCATCATGGTGTTCCTCTTAAATGAGTTAATACTGTGCCATTGGTGTCGTATCCATTCAATAAATACGGGCTTTTATGCTTGAATCCTTGGAGTCCTGGTGTGGTGCAGTAGGATAAGCACTTGATCTGAAGGTCGGTTTGAGCCACAAGGTCAGCAGTTCAAACTCACCAGTCACTCCCCAGAAACCCTATACAGGGTCACTATGAGTGAGAACTGACTCTACACCATGAACTACAACAACCAGCAGTGCCTAAATCCTAGCTGGGCATGTGACTGCGAAGAGTCTACAATTCTTTGGGGTTCTAGAATGCTGGCCTGTGGAGTCCTGGACTCCTCTAGCAGCATGTGTAATGTCTTTTGGGTGCACCACTGTACCCTGCTTCTCATGGCTGGAAGGTCTGGGGCCACCTGTCTACCCAGCTCAGCCCCACACTAAGCAAATGAGGTGATGTCAAAACTTTGGCTGGGGCCCAGACTGGGGAACCTCCCCCTTTCTCTCCCCTGTGCCCTCCCTTCCTCAGATTCATACACACACGCCCAGCTGGGCCCAGAGGGAAGGTGAGAGGGTGAGGAGTGAAGGTGGGTGGGTGGGCACACGGGTTCCCTGAAGCATGACGCCTCCAGCTCCATTGAACCAGTGGGTTCGGGGGCAGAGCTGGACCCAAAGATCTCCTGCTCTCTCCCTTTAAGCCTCAATTTGCAGAAGTCCCAGGCTTCACCCCTCCCATTGTGAGGGTGTGTGACTTTTCTGAGGGGGTGCACGGGCTTGTATAGTCGGAGCAGTCATGGCCGAAGAGAAGACTTTTCGTATTGGCTTCATTGTGCTGGGGTTCTTCCTGCTGGCCCTTGGCACGTTCCTCATGAGCCACGACCGGCCCCAGGTCTACGGTACCTTCTATGCCATGGGCGCTGTTATGGTGATTGGCGGCGTTGTCTGGAGCATGTGCCAATGCTACCCTAAGGTAGGCAGTGATGGAGCTGGTGGGGCCAGAGGGCCGGTGGCTGTTCCTCTACTCCACACAACAATCCCCTGTTATTTGATCCATCTTTCCATCTTGACTCCTTCCTCTCCACTCTGTTTTCCTGAGCATTTCTCCATCTCTCCCTTCCTTCTGCCATATATCCTATCTTCTATCCATCCATCTAGCCTATCTTCCATCCATCTATCCATCTGTTCATCATCCATCCATCAGTCCATTTAGCCATTCATCCAACCACCCATCCACGTATCACAAGGACTGACCAGAAGCCCCTTAGATGTAGAACCCTGTTAAGGTGGGACACAATGAAGCACAACACATGCTCTGTGTATTAAAGCAAAAATTAATGAGTGCTTACCTAGTGGAATTCAGTCCTCATCCTGAGCTGTTAGGTACCTTCTCGAGCTCCGTTTTATAGTAGAGAAACCTGTTGTTGTTACGTGCCTTGGAGTTGGTTCCGACTCATAGCGACCCTGTACAGAGTTTCCGAGGCTGTAAATCTTTATGGGAGCAGAAAGCCTCATCTTTATCCTGCAGAACAGCTGGTAGTTATGAACTGCTGACTGTGAGATTAGCAGCCTGATTCATAACCACTACGCTACCAGAGTTCCAGTAGACAGACCTGAGGTTCAGAAAAGCAAGGTTCCTGGTTACTAAGTGGCAAGCCTGGGCTTGAAGCTCAGATCTGGGTAACTGAAAGCATAACCCTCCACCTTGGAAGGAGGGCTGTGTGTGTCTCAGAACTGCCAGAGTCCTGAGGTGGGTCAGATCTAACCTGGACAGCATGAGTTTGGGGCTGGGCTTCCAACCAGTTCATTCCTGTTCAAACCCCCGCTAGAATTTGCATTTCCACCCCAGATATATTGAATCCAAATCAACTTGCTAACATGACTTCCCATAAGAATCACCTGGTGGGAGAAAGATGAGGCCTTCTGCTCCCGGAAAGACTTACAGCCTCAGAAACCCTGTAGAAGCTGCTATGAATCGGAACCGCCTCATTGGCACACAAGTGCCACCAGCGACTTTATGAGTAGCTAACAATGGGAAGGGCACTTGTTTGGGAGTCCGAGACCTAGGTGCTAGCTTCAGCACTGTGTGACCTTTGTCTTCCTGAATCTCAGTATTTTCAGCTGCAAAATGGGGCCCAAACCCCTGTTTTTCCCAGCCTTACAGGATGATCACGAACATCAGAGAAGAGATGGGATGTAGGATGTTCTTCAAACTGTCAAATGTTACATGTGGTGAATCGTTACCACTGTTGTTGATACCGATCTTCTCAAGTGTCCTGTGGAATAGGCTTGGCAGGACTTGTAAACCCTCAGGCTGGTGAGGAATTAGCACCCCGAGAGGTTGAGTGACTTTTCCAAGGTCATATAGCTGGTCAGAGATAGACCCAAACTGGCAAGAGACGGAACATGGAATTCTAGTAGGGGTCTTTGTTTGGAAACTTTGGTCAAACCCTCTTCCTGGGCCTCAGTTTCCTTATCTGTACAACATGTGAGTTAAGAATAGAGGAATGGGAAAGAGGGTGAATGTAAAGGCCCTATTGGCCCTGACATCTAGGGTTCCAGGCCCACCCACACTCCCTTTCTTACCTCCTGCTTGGTTCGCAGTACTTGGGGGTTTGGGAAGAGAAGGGCTCCCGGGGCCTAGGGCTGCCCAGCCCTGCCCCCTCTGTAGGCAAACCCCAGGCTGTCAGCATGCCTGGTGCTGGAGCGGTCTGGGCTGGTTTGTGGTCATTTACTGAGTAGTTTACAGTCAACTCACCTTTGTCTGCGCACTGCCCTGAGCAGAGGTCACAGGGAAAGGAGGGGCTCCATGGTGCCCCCCACGTGACCACCATCACCATCCTCCTTCTCCCTTAAGGAGGTGGGTCCCTGGGGTCTGCAGGGGGATGCGGAGTGTGGAGGGGAGCTTCCTTCCTCCCCTCACCCCTTTACCTGCAGTAGCTCTAGGGTAGTGATCAGGGACAAGAGTAGGGGTGGGGAGCGAGGTGTGAGGGAGAGAGAGAAGGGAGAGGGAATGTGGCTGGGCACTTAATGAGTAACTGCTGATGGAGTAGTGTGGAAAAGGCACATGTTTTAGTGTCTGACAGCCCAAATTCAAATCCCTGCTCCCTCCTGCCCCATTTTGTGACCTTGATGGGAGAAGTTCCCCTCTGAGTGTCTGTTTGGTCTCCTGGAATCTGTGGAGGCCCCTGCCTTGCCCAGCTGAGAGGGATGTGGGCTCATGGCATTTGTGGCTCTGGGTGGGGCTCTGTCTGTGTGTACTGCTCAGTGTGCCTGTGTGTGTTTCAGCGAGGCAGACTGTAGGAGCTGGCATATGTTGGACCCAGTAAGAGAAGGAAGGGGGCCAGTCTGAAGTAGAAGCTCCCTGTCTCCCTCATTGTCTACTCCATGAAGCCCTCAGGCTCTTCCCCTGACTCTCAGTGCCAGACCGATTGGAATGTTCTGGGTAAAAAGAACTAGAAATAGAAGGGACCGGGGTTAGCCCGTTAGGATGGTGGTGAGGGGTTTCAGATACTAGCAAAAATTAAGTGGTCTCTGTTTTGGAGAAGGAGTCCCTGTGTGGTACAAACAGTTAATGTGCTTGACTGCTAACTGAAGTTCAGTTTCACCCAAAGACACTGTGGAAGAAAGGTCTGGCAATTTATTTCTAAAATATCATCTATTGAAAACCCTATGGAGTGAAGTTCTGCTCTTATACACATGGGTCACTGTGAGTCAGAATCGACTTAACAGCAAGTACTCTTTGAAGATAGACTGGAAAGTGGTTAACTTGGTGTTTAGTGGGAAAGCCTGATGGGGAGAGAAAAGTAAGTGAAGTGGAAGTTTCCAGACAGAGAAGAAGGGAAAAGATACTGCAGACAGAAGGAGCAGTGTGATCCAAAAACACACACATACAAGAGTGAGGCTGGCAGGTCAGCGTGGGGGGTTTGGGGAGAAAGGTAAAGCTGGAAAGGAAGTGGGCTGGACTCCATGGAGCCTGGGATGCTATGCTCAGGAATTGGACGTTGCCTCTTAAACTACAAAGCTGATCATAGGGCAAGAGAAGGGCACGATTAGCTTTGCAGTTTGAGAAAGTTATCGTGGTGACAGCAGAGAGGAGGAAGGTTCAGGGGGTGCAGATGAGTGAGGCAGCTTCTTCTCTGGTCCAAGTGAGAGATGATGGTGACCTGGACCAGCACAGAGCTTGAACCCTAGGCTGTAGATGCTGAGAAGGCATTTCCAGCTCATCAAAGTTGAAACACTTTATGGCAGGTGTAGCATTAGGCATTCCACTGAGATGATCTCATTTGATTTCTAAAGTAGACCTGCTAAGATTTGGTGGTCAGCTTAGCCTTGGGTGTGAGAGGAAGGCGAATCGGGACACAACTAGTACATGGGCAATCAGGGAGTCTGACCAGTTAGCTGAATTGGAGGAAGGAGGTGAGAGTAGACCAAGTGTAGGTAGGGAGGACAGGCCTCTCCCCCACCCCGGGCTTTGCCCTGTCTCTGCCTGCAGTCCCCAGGTCCCCCTCCTGCCTGCCCGGCTGAAGCTCAGGATGAGGTCCCTGATTAATAGTTGATGGGTCTGTCCTCCACTTGGGCCTCACTCTGTCCTAGGGACCACCCAATGCAATTCTCTTCCTAAACACAAATCTGTGCCTTTCCTGCTGAAAACACCTTCTGGGGTTCCCAATGCTTCTGGATAAAACTGAACTCCATCTGATGTTCTGAGAATCCCCGTGGTCCAATCTCCCTTGTCTGTCCATCCTTGTCACTGCAACCCTTTCTGTTCTGAGATGCTCTGAGCTCTCCCATTCCATTTGCATAATGACAATGGTGGTGGTGGTGATGGTGGTGGTGGTGGTGGTAGTTGGGTTCTGAGGCAGAGAAAGGGCAGCTTTTAGGATATACAGAACCAACTGGCAAATGCAAGGCATCCTTAAGGGAGGTGAGAGGAACTCCCCAAATGCATAGCAAGTAGCAGGGACCCAAGCGAGTGGGCACAGTGCCAATGGATGCCAAGAGACCCTGCTGGGCAATGCCATTGCTTTCCTGTCTGCCTTTATCCTGGGGACAAGGGATGTATTTCGCTTGGCTAATATTTGGGCTTGACATATAGCAAGAGCTGGGTGAATGTTTGTACGGTGATCTTACATGTTAGGGTTTACAAAACTTCTTCAATCCATGATCTTTGAGAGGTGGACAGATAGGAAACTGACTCAGACAGTGGACCGATTGACTTGAGGTCACTTGTCAAGCCAGTCGAGACTAGTGTCCAGGCTTCATTCCATGGCTCTCCCAGAACATCTATCTGCCTCTGCCCAGGCCCCTGCTCTATTTCCAGCCACCTGGGGAGAGCTCACCCCTCATAGGTGTTCTAAGAATCCCTACAGTGGGACAGGAGCTTTTCCAGTGCAAGCAAATGTCTTCCACTCCCTGCTTTCTATGGGCAGAGAACAAAGGGGTCTGCTACTTCAGTGGTAGAATGCTCACCTTCCATGATGGAGACCTGGGTTCGATTCCAGACAATGCACCAAACTTTTAGTTTGTTAGTAAGCTAAGCAAGCCCCACCCAGATACTCCTGAACGTGCAAAGGCCTTTTGATTTCTGAAAGTTCAGAGACAAGGACAGGTATGTGTGACTTCAGCCATCCACTTATCTGTCCCCCATCACAGAAACATGGGACAATAACCTGCTTTCCACTAATTCACCAACTATGGACAAAGTGCCTGCTCTGGGCTCAGCATGTGCAGGCACTGGACAAGGACTCTGGGAATTGACAAAATGATCATTCACTCACTGCTGCCCCCTATGCCTTACAGGTGCTCAATAAATGTTTGCTGAGGTGATGAAGAACCAGGGTGGAAGGCAGGAACCCAGAGGTCCAGCCCACCCACTGTGGAACGGGGAGACTCTCCCTAGCCCACATTTCTGGGGTGTAGAGAGGTTTACAAGAGGCTCTGGAGGGAGCAGCAGCCAAGGGTGAATGAAGTTGCTTGCCCCCATCCCAGTCAGCTGCAGAGAAACTATCTTCACTCTGCCCTTTAGATTGCCTTTGTGCCTGCGGAGTCGGAATTCCAAGGCATCCTGTCCCCGAAGGCGCTGGGGCTGCTGGAGAACAAGCTGGGCACTGAGGTGAAGAGGTAGGTGCTAGGTCTGCAGGAGTGTCTCCTTACAGAGGGAGGGGACAGGGCCACGGGACAGACAGGCTCTTCTCTCAGCCGCCTCTGAGAATGTGCTATCAGAAACCTTCAGTTCTGCAAGGATGCATTATGAGTCCCATCTTACAAATGAGGAAACCGAGGCTCAGTGATAAATTAGAGGCAGACTATATGTGAAAAGCAAGTTTAACCCTCAAGTCCACCCATGTAAGACTGCCCCTGCTACTAACAAACAAAAGAGACAGTGTAATGTGATGACCTGGGGCTTTGCCATTTATGAGCTGTGTGACTTTGGGCAATCACTTAACCTCTCTGTGCTCCATCTATAAAGTGGGGATACTGAGGTCCCTGAGTGGTACAAATAGTTTGCATTCTACTACTAACCTAAAGGTTGGCAGTTCCAATGCAACTAGAGGTTCTGTGGAGTAAAAGCCTGGCGCTCTGCTTCCGCAAAGATTACAGCCAAGAAAATTCTATGGAACATTGGGTTGCCCTGAGTGGGTATTGACACATGGCAACAGGTTTGTTTTTTGATTGAGTAATAGTACTTCACTTCTAGGGAGAGTTATGGGAGCTAATGTATACAAAGGGCTAAGAACAGCCTCTGGTGTGTAGCATGAATGAACCAGAGACTGGATCAGGCATGTTGCAGCTTCAGTCCTCTAAAAATCTTTTGATGATGAGGAGGTGTTAGGCCCTTTATACATACAAGGGGGCTTCAAAAAGTTCAGGGGGAAATTCAATTATCTTTTCATTCTGTTTTATCACAAACTTTTTGAATCCCTCTCCTCACAGACCCCAAACCCCATGAAGAGTCGATGACAGAGGTAGGACTCGAACTCAAGCCTAACTTGGCTTCAGACTTGCCTTCCTTCTTGGAGGCATTAAGTTCAAGTTCACCTGGGCACAGCCAAGAGCCCTCCAGCCCTGGAGAGGCAGGGACCAGCTTTCCCCACACCCCCTCACCATGAAGGTGTTCAGGAAGACTGGCTGCTGGTTCAGGGTCTGTGGACTTGGGCTCCAGAAATCTCTCCTTTGCTTAGAAAGTGCAAGATGGTGACAGGTTCTACTCTTGGTGTCCAGGGTTACCAAATGTCCTGAGGGAATGAGCTGGATAGATCCCAGGTGGGGCTAGGAGCCATCCCAAGCTCCATTCCAGGTCCCAGTTATACTAGGAGGACATGGTGAGAGATCTGGGGTTCAGGGATGGTCTCTACCCTGCTGCTTCCTAGCTGTGTGACCTTAGGCAGGGAAACTAGTCTCTGGACCTCATTTTCTGAGGGACACAGAGACAACGAACATGTTGGCTGGAGCTTCAGTGCTATGGCCTGGTAGCTGTGCCACCCTGGGGAAGTCAGCTAAAGTCTCAGGACCTCAGGACCTTGCAGAGTTTGGGTGAGAAGTAGCAGAATGAACTGACACCCTGACATTCCAGGAACACTCAGTAACTGTAAGCTATCATCTGTGCATTGGAAGTGAGCCCAGTGTTTATTACACAGCAAACACTTAGCAAGTGCTGACTGGACTCAGTGTCACTATTGCATCCTCACCCTTCACTTTGAAGACATCAAATAGGTCACGTCCAAACCTTGTCGCTTCATTTACGTGTCTTGCTAACCCTCGGTCTGTCTGCTCATGAGAGATGAGAAGAGACCAGAAGCCTGGAACAAGCAGGGCAGACTGAGCGCAGGATGTTTGTTGAGTGAATCTTTGACCCCTGTCTGCTCTCTCCCTCTCTGTCTTCCATACCCTCCAGCCTCCAGCCTCCCTACGTCAGGCTGTGGGAGGATGCTGCCTATGATCAGAGCCTGCCTGACTTCAGCCACCTGCAGATGAAGGTCATGGGCTACAGTGAAGATCCCCGTCCCCTGTTGGTCCCTGAACCCGGGCAGTCCCAGCCTGGAGCCTGTGATGGAGGGGAAGGCTGTCTGGTTGACTCTCAGGCCTGGATGGAGGCCACTGTGGTGGTCCACCGGGACTCAGACGAGAATGAGATAGAAAGAATCCCAGCTCAAAGCGGGTCCAGGTGAGCACATGGAGGGAGGAGTGGACACTGCCCAATCTAAGATGGAGGAAAGGGGTGTGAGGTGGCCGAGGGTGTGGTTTGGATCATTTGGGAGTAAGTCAAGGGCAGTGGGTGGGAGGGACAGGGGGCACTCCAACAAACAGCAGACACAGTGGAACAAATGAGCATGAGTTTTGGAATCAGATGGACCTGAGTTCAAGTTCTAATTCATCTGCCATATAACCTTGGCAAGTTTCTTATGCTCCCTGAGCCTCAGTTCCCCAACCTGGGAATAGCTATTCCTACAACATAGGATTTCTGTAAGGATGCAGATGGTGTGTTTAAATTCCTGTCACCCAGTGAACCCCTCCTCTCTAAACGCTCACATAGCAGGGGGTGAGGAGCCAGAGGATCTGAGTTCAAATCCTGGCTCTGCCACTGACTTACTCTGTTTCTGAATACTCACTATACATAGCAGGGGGTGAGGAGCCAGAGGACCTGAGTTCAAATCCTGGCTCTGCCACTGACTTACTAAGTGGCTTCCCACCTCCCATCTCTTTTGGAACTGAATTCCTCATTCATCCATTTATTTATTCATTCCATCAACACTGCTGGGCACTTGCTCCCTGCCAGGCCTTGCCTAGGCCCCACCCTTCAGGAGCTCTAGTCCAATGGGGGAGACGTATGGGTATGTCCCAGTGACGGGGCTGTGAGAAACTACAGGAGACGTGTGAATGACAGAGAAGGGGACAAGTGACCTGGTTTAGGTAATAGCATCATTGTTGTTCAGTGTTACTGAGTCAATTCCGACTCAGTGACACTGTATAGGGTTTCTGAGGAACAGCAGGTGGGTTTGAACTACCAACCTGTGGTTAGCTTATCATACATCACCACACTAAAATAGCATAATGTGGTTTTTGTTAAGTGCCGTCAAGTCAGTTCAGACTCATAGCAACCCTGTATAGCGTTTCCGAGAAGCAGCTGGTGAGTTTGAACTGCTGACCTTGCAGTTCAAACCGACCTTGTGGTCCAGTGCACACCAGGACTCAAAATGGCATAAGAGAAGCTCCTAGTTCTTGAACACATGCTATGTGCCCGACATTGTATTAAAAGTGCTTTGCACACATTTGCTGTAAACCTCAGAAACAACCCTAGTGAGGACAGTAGATACTCCTACTTTCCCCATGACAGAAGAGGAAACTGAGGCCCAGAGAGGTTATCAGAGCTACCCATGCCCTCATGGCCTTTGTCCCTACAGCCCCCCAGCCTGTCCTCAAGGCCCTGCACCCTTGGCTTCCTTCCAAGAAAACCTGGACATGGACTCCAGTGAGGATAGCAGCCCCAACCCATCTCTACCAAGTGGGGAGGAGCTTTGCCCACCACCACCACCAGATGCACTGGCCTGCGGGTGCCGGCTGGACCACTTCAACGACTTTGCCCTGATTGATGCCCCCACATCAGGGGACCTGCCCTCAGAGAGACCACAGCAGGATGTGGTCCTGCCCAGACACTGGCAACAGTATCCTAGGATGAAGGAGGAAGAGGCTTCAGACACAGGCATGGAGGACTCTCAGGAGGAAGATGACTTGTACTATGGGTTGCCAGATGGCCCCGGGGACCCCCTCCCAGACAAGGAACTGGATTTTGAGCCCGATGCCCAAGACTGAGATGAACCTGCTCCATGAGTTTTAGCCTGGCATGGCTGCTAACCTACATGTGACTTCAGAGGACGTCAGTTTTCTTGTCTGTAAAATGGGACTATGTGGAGATTTATATGAGATGGGGGTCCTGAGAACTCTTGGGATGCTAAAGAAATGCTGTAGGAAAGGGAGATGGTTGCCAGTTGGTTGTGGTTGCTCCAGTTGGGAATTTTCTTTGGCAAAGTCTTTTTTTTTCCCCTTCAAACTTATTCTGAATTGGGTGACAGTTTACAGAGCAATCAATTTTCTATTCAATAATTCAGACACATTTTATTTCACATTCTTTGGCAAAAGCTTTGGAGGTGAAAAAGGATTTATTGAGAAGATTTGTAGCAGCCAGGTCCCTGAAGAGCCCTCAAAACTGGCCTCTAATAGGCCAGTCTCCCCTCAAAACTGGCCTCTAATAGGGACCCTCCTTGGTGTTACATAGGGTCTCCCAATGACCTCTCAGGGGTGCTAATCCTTGCGGAACATTTTATTCACTCTGGCAGGTGGTAATTCATCTTCACTCAGAATTCCTCATGTCCTCGCTTTCCGCTTCACCCCTGTGATTCCCATTCCTCCTTTCCCAAGATGGGCGGGTCTCCCCAGGTTTGTCTTTGGTCTTTCCCACTTCACATGCTCTGCTCCTCAATTCCAAGCCTGTCCCTCCCCGCAACACACACACAAACACACACACACGCGTGCGCGTGCACACACACCCTGCTGTCCGGCCCTTGACCAAGGTGTCTACAAGGATACCTGTTCCTCTCTTACCTGCCTCTCTTCTTCCAACTCCTCCCAGGTGCCCCTCCTCTGAAGGTTTTCCCTGGACAAGTTAGCCTCGCTCCTCCGTGCCTCCTCTGGGCCTTGTACATAGATCCTGGAGTATGCCTGTCTGCCTCCCGCCCAGGGGGTATCTTTGTTTACTTGTCTTGTATTCCTCCTGCCCAGCTCTGGGCCTAGCCAGCAGAGGCAGTCACTGAGGGTGTGTGGAACTGACCGGTTTTCTGGGGATCCTCAGAGATAGCACCCCCTTTCCCACTTTCTCTCTACCTACTTGTATGCAAGCCTCCAAATGGCTTGTGTAGTGGTCACAAAACCAGGCCAAAAGCCCCCTGAGGGAAACTTCCTGCCCCCACACAATATGATGGGGCTTCAAAAAGTTCATGGAAAAACGGAATTAAAAAGTTTTGAAATGTATCCACGAAGAATTTGAAGCTTCTTCCGATACCTGCCATTAGTTGAGGACAGTAGGTAGCATGAAGCTTCCTGGCTTCACTCGTTCTGAGTCCGCTCATTTACTGAGTCTCTAGTCTGTGCCGTACACTGATCTGGAACCCCTACAGAGACTAGTTTATACGGTTGTTGCCCTAAAAGGACACACATTCCAGTGAATTTGGTGTCTTGTATGTTAGGGACAGAGGCAGAGCAGAGGCCTAGGTGGGAGAAGTGAAGTTAAAGATGACATCAGAGGACAGCCTCGCAGATATCCAGGGTCACTGAGTCCAGGGCACATAGCCCTGCTGGCCGAGCAGAGCTTTATCATACGCACTCTTGGAACAGCCGTCTGTGTCCAGCACAGTGGCTATGACACTGCCTCAAGCCAGGCCCACATACACAGAAACTTGCACCTGGCAGTGGGGGACCCTCACTTGTCAGGGGTGGCAGAGGGGGAAGGGATCCCCTGTGCTCAGTCAGAAGGGCACACCTTCTGGAACTCACTCCTCTGTTTTGCTGAGCCATTTCTCCCTCCAGCATCAAAGCCTTGGTAGTGAAGTCTGCCTTGGGGTGCATCCCCCTCTGCTGCTCTGCTGACGCGGGGACAAATGTTCCTGTTCATGGCCCCCAGTCATCAGATCAGTGCAGTGTAGCATGTCCATGTGCTGCCTGCACTGAGGCAGGAAGAGTGTGAACTGCATCAGAAAGAGCGCCAGCACAGATGGCAAAAAATCAAAGAGTTGTCAGGATTTAAAGGGGTCACCTTCCTTCACCTGGAAAATTCTTCTATGTTAAAAAAAAAAAAAAAAAGCTCATTCCCCCTCTGGGCAGGATAAATGAGGCATTCTGCTGACTGGAAAGTTCATGCCAACTTCGATGTGGTGACCGGTGGGAGCAGTGACTGCTTGGTGGTCACTCTCAGGAGTGACTCCCACTCCTGGATACAAACAGAAACAAGGGTAGATGAAGGCTCTGGCTGCCCAGGCGGGTGGGGAGTGGGTGCAGTGCCTCAAGGGGCCTGCAGAGGGCGCAAGACAGCGGAGAGAGATGGTGAGGCTGGGGCTTTGGCTAATCCTGGGGCTCCCGCCATCTTGCTTTGCCAGGAGACCCTAGCCGTAACTTGCTCAGGGCAGCTTCAGGTTAACTCGCTCTATGTTGGCTTAGTTATTAGTAGGAACTCTTTCAAATGCATCCCATTTGGCCAGTAAATAAATTAGACAATCACCCTGCTGTGGGACGGACCGTGGGCAAGAAGCCCAGTTGTCTCTACAGCCCTCAGTTTCTTGGAGTGCCCACCTTTGAATCTTTTTTTTTTTTTTTTCCCATGCATTATTGTGAATTATATAGTATTTTACATGAGAGAACTTTAGTTTTTCATTCATTCCATCGTATATAGTCTCATTACCATGGTTCCAATCCCCTCCATGCATCATCAACCGACCAAAGGGTATATCCTATAAACCTGCCCCCTACACTCCCTGTATTCAGCCATGATTGTTGATGTTATTGTTAGGTGCCATAGATTCCAACTCATACTGACCCTACGCACAACAGAATGAAGCACTACCTGGTCCTGCTCTGTCCTCACATTGTTGTCACGTTACAGCTGCCACTGTGTAAATCCACTTCATTGGGGGTCTTCCTCTTTTTTGCTGACCCTCCACTTTGCCAAGTAGGATGTCCTTCTCCAGGGACTGGTCCCTTCTGACAACATGCCCAAAGCATGAGAGACAAAGTCTTGCCATTCTTGCTTCTAAGGAACATTCTGGCTGTACTTCTTCCAAGACAGATTTGTTTGTTCCTTGGAGAGTCCATGGTACTTTCAGTATTCTTCACCATGATTACCTAATCCCCCAAACCGAAGCCAGGGCTGTGTTTCTCTTTCTTAGGTCTCACTGCCCAATGGGTCCTTCACCAGAACCTGCTAGTGACCATGGGGAGCTAGAGGCGCAGGGTTGTGGCATGCACAGTGGATTTGAGTTGAAGAGAAGCACCTACAACTTTCAGAATGTTTAAAAATCCAGGGGTGATTTTCTGATTCCTTTCCTCCCTGGTCACCCCAAGTGTTATGGTTTGCCTCACCATCTCACTACATTGTCTCAAGTCCACTATTAATGGTTTATTCCCTTGGCCTTTGCCAACATTCAGTCTCCTATCTGAATACCTGCATCCCTGGACCTTCCCTCACTAGTTGGTTGATTAACTGAGAGAGGAGCATGAAGTAGAATATGGAATAAATGTCCCCAGGGCTGGGGGATGGTGAAAGGGCAGGAGGAATGAACTTGGCAAGCTCTGGGATTCCAGATTTTAGCCATAGGCATGAGATTTGTGGGCTGGGTGGACATTCCTGTTCTTTTTCTCCCTTCTGTCTGGTTTCCTGATGGCAGGTCAGAGGGACTTTGGAAGTTTCCACTCTCTGGAGATGAAATAACCCTGGAGGGATGTTGGCTTTTTCCCTTAGCTGGGGGTGGGATAGGTGGAGGGTGTGGAGAAAGTGCGATCCTGGGGGCTGGGACTTTGGGCACTGTCTGCTGCCTGCTGGGTAATCTTGGGCAAGTCATGACCCTCTCTGGGCTTTGGTCCCTCTTCCCTAGAGTTAGTTAGATGGAGTTGGACAAAGTCCCACTTTCACTCCCCGACTCCTTGAGCACCGTGTGTCAGGCACTGTGCCCAGCATCTTACACCTCTTACCCTGTCTGGTCCTCACTTAGGAGGACAGATCTGTTCAGCCCAACTTTGCAAATGTTTGTTCTAAATCCTAGACCCTAGAGTCAGAAAGACTTGAGCTTATACTCAGCTTCTGCCAACTCTTTGCTGTGTTACATTAGACAAGTTGTTGTCCCTCTCTGAACCTCAGTCCTCATATATCCAGCATCCAAATAATTCCTCCCTCTAAGGCTATTATTCCCTGGGTGGTGCAAACAACTTTCTATTTAAGACAAAAGACTGCAGCTGGAACCTACCCAGAAGTGCCTCCAAAGACAAGCCTGGTGATCTGCTTCCCAAAGGCCATAGCTTTGAAAATGCCATGAAGCAGTTCTACTCTGACACACATGGGGTTATCCACTCAATGGCAACAAGCAGGCTATTGTGAAGGAGACTAACGGGCATAAAGCCCCTGACACGTAGGAGGTGCTCAAGCAGCATTCGTACGTATTATGGATTGAATTATGTTGCCAAAAAGTTACATTGAGGTTTTAACCCCTGTACCTGAAAATGTTACCCTGTTTGGAAATATGGGGTTTTGCTGTGTTAATGAGGACCTATCTGAGTAGGCTGGGTCCTAAACCTAATCCCCTCTGAGTTGTGTCTTATAAAAAAGGACAATAGACAAGAAGATACACACTCATGGGGACAAGACCATGGAAGAGACCAGCTGCTAGCCACGTACGGCCAAGGAGGGCCCATCCCCTGGGACTCATCCCCTGATTTGAACTTTTAGCCTCCAAAACTGGGAGACAATAAATTTCTGTTCTTTAAAGCTACCTACTTTGTAGTATTTTATTGGGGCTAACTTACTGTCTCAGTATCACTCTCCTCAATAGGACACTGGTTGAGTAGATTCGTCAGAGAGAAGATACATGTGGAATCTCTGTAAAAGGTTAAGGACACCTATGGGGATGTTGTACCAGGTGCTGAGGAGCAAGTAAGCTAAAGGCAGGCCAGTGACAAGGAGCTGAGGCAGGTATCAGTACCTCCCACGGGATAGTGAGAAGGGGACAATCCTCTGTGCAAGACAGAAGCTTGTCAGGAGCATGGGGAGGAGG